AAAATCTTAAAAAAAAAAAAAAAAAAAAGAAAGAAAAAAAACAGTGATGGTAATTTTGATTTATTAAGCACCTAAGGTGTACCCACAGGCCGTGCCCTTGGTGCTGCTCGGCAGCTGCAGCCTCGCATCCAGCACACACACGTTCTCCCATGGCACACCATTACACTCTACACCGTGGGAATCTCCAAATAATTACGGCATCTCCAGGAGAGACAACAGGGGTTAGCTTGGACAAGTGTGCAAAAGGGCCAAGAATGATCTGGGAATTCAGAGGGTCTCCTGTAGATTGGATGCAGTTAGTATGACTAACGGGCACAGGAATTCAGAGGAGGGTAAACATGTAGGACAGAAAGAGAACGGCACCGGAGCTGAACACTAGAGGGGAGTGGTGGCAGAGCCATCAAGAGGGGGCACCGTTTCGCAAAACCTCTGGGCAGAGACAGAAGAGAAGCTTGGAGCGGGACTGGATCAGCTGAAGGAGAACCTTACACATACTCTGATATGTCTGGAAATCATTCAGTTCATTCATCTATTCCAGAGGAATTATTAGGGGCCAGGAGTATAGCAGCGAACACGACAGTCTCAGTGGGGAGACGATCAATAAGCAAGTGCATCCATAGTGTGCCAGATATGAACATGTGCTCAGAGTAACAGAGCAGGGCACACAGGAAAGGGGGTGTGGGGGTAATTTATACACAGGGGTCACAGAAGACCACCTTCCCAATTAAGGCGGCATCTGAGCAGAGAACTACAGGAATCAAGGGAATGCCATCTCAGAGAGGAGTGTCAGGCAGCGGGAATGACACAAGCAAAGGCCCTGAGGTTGGAATAGGTTTGGCCTGTGACTGTGATAACAGGCTCCAGTGTGCCTGGGGCAGAGGGGTGGAAATGGGTCCTGGAAATGAGGTCACAGAGGCCGCAGGGGCCAGGCCAGATCACAAGGGCCTTCTAGGCCACTACAAAATCTTCTCTAGTCTCTGCCTAAAATAGGAGCTACTGGAGGGTTTGGAGCTGAGTGGTGTGATCTGACCTAGGTCTTTACAAGGTCACTCTGCTGCTGTGTTAAGCAACAAACTGCAGGGAACAAAGACAGAGCAGAAAGAGGAGTCAGGAGGTTCCTGCAACAATGTAAGCTTGGACCAGACTGGAAGCACTAGAGGGGATGAGAAACGTCAGATCTGGGGTCCTAATGAGAAAGTGGATTTAGATGAGAGACTTGAGAAAAAAGAACTCCAAGGTTTTTGGCTTGTGTCGCTGGAAGTGCCATTTACTGAGACAGGAAAGACTAGAGGACGAGCGGGTGGGAGGGGACTTAAAGTCCTAAATGTGTTATATTTGAGATGACCATTAGACACCCAAACAGAAGTACCAAATAAACAGCTAAAGAGACAAGTCTGGGAGTTCTCGGTCTGGGCTGAGACGTAGGTGTAGGAGTGCCAGCATCTGCCGGATGGTTAACGCACGCCCGGACACGGTCTCCTAGGGGGTGAGTGCAGACAGAGAAGCCCAGCGGTCCAGGGTCTGAGCCTGGGGCACTTGAACACCCTGCCAAGGAGACTCCTGAGGAGCAGTGGCCAGTGGGGGAAAAAGAGAACCACGATTGACTAACAACAGCAGCAGCTACTGCAGCTGCAGCTGCTGCTGACCGGTCCCAGGCATTCCTGTCCTTTTTCACGGAAGAAAAAACTGAGGCACAGAGCAGTTGGTAACAGTGTAGCCTTGTCCAGATCAACAAGTATGAATTTTAACCCATATTGGTCTCAATCCAAAATCTGTTTTCTTATACCTCATAATGCAACAGGGAGTGTTTAAGCACAAAACATGGAGAAAGTAGCTTTTTATAAAAATAGCGGCATCAATCCAGGATTAGTCGGAAGGAAACAATTTTAGGCAGGTACCAATTAGGAAGCTCTACAAGGAGATCAGGAAGAAGGGAAGGAAGGCAGCAGAGATGCACAGAAAGGGCTGATCTCAACTGGGCCAGCAAACCTCAGCCCGCGCCCAACTCCAGCAGGCTGCCTGGTTTATTGCAGCCTGGGAGCTCAGAATGGTTTCTACATTTTTAAATGGTTACATTTTAGGTGGTAATACAAGTATCTACCTAATAACCTTGAGTTTGCCTGTTGGCCACAGGCCTTAAGTATTTATTCTCTGGCTCTTTAAGGAAAAGCTTGCCAACTCTGACCTAAAGGAGACTTGAAAAGAAAATGGGGCACAGGTAGTGAGTTGAAAATAACGCCCAGAATACGGGGGACAGAATCTCATCCCATATGACGAGAGGCTGAGGAGCATAACGCTTGCAAGTCCACAGGTCTTAGTACTGGCGGAGCGCAGCGCAGTGGCGCCAACAGCAGAGGAAAGCTGGGCTCCTGGCTGCAACAGTCTGAGCCACAAGTAGAATAACCAGCGCCCAAAGGTGTAGTAGCAAACAGCAGGAAAAGAAGTTACAACGCAGGCCGACTGGAGCACCAGACCCGCAGCAGACACATTCTTGGTCCACCTGGGCTCCCCCTCCACCCACCGGGCCACACAACTGCTCTCAGGGTCTCCAAGCAACTGCAGGAGCAGGGGCGTTAGATCCAGACACGGGCGCTTCCTCCTTGTCACTGGAGTGCAGCCCCTCATGCCGCCCCGTGCTCCCCACGGCCACTACATCCTGGACGTTGTCCTCCGTGCCGTTACTGAGCTGGGGGCTTCTCACGCCTCACAGTCCAACTCCAGCGACCTCCCAGTTCCCCCAGCCCTGCTAACGCGGGGCCATTAGGTTAGTTAAAAGGGTTTAAGTCCAGTAATTCTTCACTCACTCGTACTTGCCGTTGTGTAGGCTAGAACTGTAAGTATTTCTATGAGTCTATACAGAGCGCACAGACCATCTACATCCTGAAATCAACTCTAAACACTCTTAACGGTTGTTAAGGTAGTGCTCTCACCCCCCCACACACACACACACGGGCACGCACACGTGCACACACGGTCCACGGAGCTCCTGACGCTGTACACTTCTTGCTCCTGGGGACAGATGCTCTTCTCAAGTTCGGAGCCGGCTGTGCAGCAGGGGGCGCCCGTCTCTCCCCTGGAAGAGCTTCCCAACTGCAGGTCCGCAGCACCCTCACCGCCTTCAGTCCCACAAGTGAATGACCTTAGAGAGGGGGTCAGCCCAAAAAGGGTGACAGGCAACACTTCCACTCCGGGCAAGAATTCAATCAGGAACTGCAAGACATTCATCACCGCATCTGCAGATATCAACCATGACTTGATTATCTCATGAAACCTCATTTCTTCAAGTCCTAGGGGATGTTTTTCCCCAGGAAAGAGCAGTATAAACAAGCAAGGTGCTGATTCTCCAGCACACTGCTGACAACTCCCATCAACCAAACAATCTACATTCCCAAACCCATCTACTGACTTTTCCAATATGTTGACAATTAGCCTTAAACCAATTCCCAATCTTCTGAAATCATCTAGGCCAGGCAGATTACAGAAGGCTCCAGACACCTCTGTGGTATTTTGCTTCTTACCAAACTCTGCTCCTCATCCACTTCAATTCCCCTCACTCCGCTGACTAACCTACAGAGGAAATGACCACGTCTTCTCAGCATGCTGGAGCCAACAGAGCAGCTGCTCACGGGCAGGGACAACCAGCTGAAATGCCCCAGGGGCCCCAGGTCCCAACAAACCCCCAAGGCTGAGGAGATCAACATCTCAGACACACTGGTTGGGGAGCTCTACTCTAATTTCTGTCACCACAAAGTAGGTATTGTTGGGTAGTTAGAAATATTTTGTTAAAGAGAGCTACTCATCTGCCATGTCTTCGCCCAGAGAAAAGTGATTATAAGCCCCTACCTTTTGCATATTATTATGTAGAGATTAGGCAGACTTAAAAAACTGGGAGAAGACCTTTTAAAGTTAGAGAAAGTCTATTTGATTTGCCACTGGGAATTTTTTCTTAATTTATCTCCTATATTTTCAGTTGTGGGGATAAAAGCAATATATGGCCAAAAACAAAAAAAAAACCCACAAAAAACAAAAACACTTAGAAGCTAGAGAAAAGAGATTACAAACTTTGGAAAAGCCTGTTTTGAGGTATTATAATAATACTGCATTCAGCTGCATGAAACTCACCCCCAAGGCGGCAGTCCAGGGCTGGTGCAGTAGCCCCGGGATACCATCAAGGACTCTGGCTCCTTCTCTGCTCTCCCAGTCCACACTTGACAGCCTTCTTCACGCAAGATGCTGCCGAGCCGTGGGCGTTCTGTCTGTGCTCAAGGCAGGGAGGAGGGTAAAGGCAATGGGCCGCAGGCAGATGCTGGCCAAGTCTGTCCCCTTTTAAGGAGCCCCATCCAGAACTTCCACTTACATCTCATTGGCCAGGGTGAGTCACACTGCCTCACCTGAAGGCAAAGGGGTCTGGGAAGGTAAATAATTTATCTGGGCAGTGACTGCCCCAGGTGAAAGTGAGTTGCTGTTAGAAAGAAAGTTAGAGAGAGTGGACATTCAGCAGGCAACTAGCAGTGTCTGACACAAGTGTCAAAACCAAAGTCAGGTTCCAGTAACGAGATATCACTGAAAAGGATACTAGGACATGCTTTGGCAATTCCTCCTTTATCACCAGCACCATTTACTGCAAGATTCCTCAAAGAAATTTCTTCCAACTTGTTCAGCTGACTGCATGAAAAACACATAGTTCAAATGTATACAAAAATATGTTTGCTATCCATTGGCTCTTTAAAAAATCAAAAAGTATTTCAGAAATATAAAAAGGTACCAAAAATAACAAATATCAGCATCTACCACCCAACTTAAGAAATAAAGCATTACCAAAAAAAAAAAGAAATAAAGCATTACAAACATTACAAATATAACTGAAGTCCTTTGCATCCCTTTCCACAACACACTCCCCTCCTCCACTCCCACAGGTAACCAGAACACTAACGTTTGGTGTTTATTTAATCTTCAGCATTTCTTAACAGTTTCATTATATATTTCCATATCCCTAAACAACTAAAGTATTTTTGTATATTATGAAATTTGATATAAATGGTATCCTACTGTATATATCCTCCAGCAACTTACTTTTTTGCTCAACAGTATATTGTTCAGCAGTGAGATTTATCCATAGTGATACATGTACTCTAGAACATTCACTTCCACATCTTATAGTTTTTTACTATATGAATAGACCAGAATTAAGTTATTTACTGCTCTGTTGACATTTGGATTATTCCCAACGGTGCGGAAGTAAGCACTGTGGTATACTTCCTGCACTCACATGAGAAAGTCTCTTTAGGGACACATCCTAGAGAGTGTAGCTTCAGCTTTAATAGATACTCTCAGAAGCCACTTATTAAGTGTAGAGAATCTGTATTTTCTATTTGTTAAAAGAGCCCACATCCTATAGTGCCTGAGAGTGTCCAGAACACAGAATCTGGAGCCAGACTGCCTGGGTTCAAATCCCAACTCCACCACCTCCTTTGGCCTTGGGTGAGCAAACATCTCTCTGCCTCAGATTCCACATCTTTAAAATGCTATGATATACACCCATCTTCACAGTAGCATTACTCACAACAGCCAGAGGGTGGAAGCAACCCAAGTGTCCATCAGTAGAAGAATGGAGAAACAAAAATGTGGTATAGCCATAAAATGGAATATTATTCACCCTTGAAAAGGAATGAAATTCTGACACATGCTACAACATGGGTGAACCTTGAGGACATCATGCTAAGTAAAATAAGTCAGTCACAAAAGCACAAATACTGTATGATTCCACTTATATGAGGTACCTACAGGAGTCAACTTCATAGAGACAGAAAGTAGAATGGTGGTTGCCAGGGGCTGGGAAGAGAGGGAAATAAGGAATTGTTGTTTAATGGCTACAGAATTTCAGTTTGGGAAGATGAAAAGGTTCTGGAAATGGATGGTGGTGATGGTTGCGCAATAATATGAATATACTTAACGATACACTTAAAAATAGTTAAGATGGTAAAGTGTGTGTTATATGTATTTTACAATTTTGTTAAATGCTATGATAATTTAGTGAGTTAGTATTTGTGAGACTCTAAGAATACTGCCTGACAAATAGTAAGTTATTTTATAAGTACTTATAAAAATAAACATAAAACTGACAACCTCAGGGGAAACACTAAGGTCACAATGCAAGGCACGAGCTATTACAACCATCAGAAACGAAGGGAAAGGCAGCTCCAAGTTCTAGGGCAGAGGCTCCCAAACTTCTCAGTTCCCGGGGCCCTGGGTGTTTCAGCCATTTTTTCACAGTGCCCTTAGGCCAAAAGAAACCCCTTACAGTTCTATTTAGTAAGTAGTTAGGGCCAAATAATTTCATAGTTATTTACGTCCTATCAACTTAGTGTCTGCTGGACACTGCACAACTTCCCAAACCCTGGAATCAGATCAGACACCACCACCGCCATGTCCTGTGCTATGATGATTTTCAGGAGATGCTTGCTTTTTATCACAGCAGTCATCACAAACCCAGCTTGGGCAGGGAGATGACACCATCGGGGACTGCAGGACTATCATGAGACTGTGAACTACTCCAAACTAGCAGTTTGCACCATGTCTAACAGATGTCACTGCTTCCCTCTAAAATTAAAAATATCCTGCTGTGCCCCAGTGAGTTCTCTGCAGTGTCAAGGGAAACTGGTACAAAGCTTAGGAACCCGGGTCTCCATAGAGACATCACTCCAGACCCAAGCCATCTTCAAGAGCAATCATACATAATAATTTTTACTTGTTTTTGATTCCTTTATTATAAGTCTTTTCCTCAGTGGTATAAACTCAAAGCTGGTCAGCTGGATGTTATTAAGGAGATAATACAATGGCTTAAAGTAAAGGTTACCGCCCCTAATAATGATGACTACCATTCACTGCGTGATCTCACTTGCTATTCACAACAGCTCTAACAGCTTAGGTATTATTTTGTAAATGAGGAAACTGAGGCTTAGAAATGCTAAGTAACTAATAAGTAACTAACACTAACTTGTGTCAGAGGTAGAAAGTGGCTTAGTTACATCCGAACCCAGCCTGATCGACTCCAACATTGGGTCCGTTCCAAGAAAGACACTAGCTAATTACTGAACACAATAATACTCAAGTAGTAGGGTCATTCACCAGAAAAATCCATGAGTTATGCAGCTGTTCATAAACTAGGGGAGGAAAATCTGTTCGCAACTCTGATGGCAAAATCTGTTGGTAATATTCACAGAGCCCTTGGTATACTCTGAAAGAGATGCACCAATAAGAAAAAAAGTGCCTCTTTTAAGGTAAAAGATATTTAAATATTTGCATTTTAAATGGAAAAAATAAAGCAAAGAACTCCAACCCTATGAAGCACATAGTTTTTAAATCCACGTAGATCAGTAGGATAAACAGCAAAAACTATTCAGGACAGTTCTCTCTTGGCGGTAGCATTGGTTGTGACTTTCTTTTGGTCAATTTATATTTCCTAAATTCTCAACAATGAATGTATATTGTCTTGTGATTAGCAAACAGTCAAGTTGTTATTTTTTTTAAAATCTTGATTTATTCTGAGTTTCTTTTTTTAATGCTGGTCATCTGTGCTAAAAAGCAGAAGTAACAAGAAATGAATTTATTCTTCAACATTGTCACCATGTGCACTTTAATTTTTGTACTATGTTAAATCTTAATAATAATAACACAACAGCAACAAAAAGGTAGCAAAGAAATTTACTTTGAACAAAACCACAGTTTAATTCTTTTATTTGACAGACAAAAGTAGAAGATTGCAGGCCTATGCCAAGTAGCTGCAAATCTACTCTCCACAGTGGCCACCAGGGGTCACTACAGGGACGCCTCATCGAGGTCAGGGTCAAACAGCACAGCACTGACCAGCAGGAAACCTGGGTAACCTGGAAGGTTCTCATGCAGTTTTGAGTGTTTCTGTGTGAATATCAGCTCCACTCTCTGATTCAGACACTTCATCAGAATGAGCAGTGAGCCTCTCTGCACAGAATCACCATGTACAGAGAGTTTCAGAGAACAGAGAATGTTCAGACTCAGTAGTTTTAAAACGCATTCTTTAGTGCCCCTCAGAACGCTACATAACAATTTGGGATACTTCCTAAAAGCAAGAGCCCACGGTATTCTGATGCAATAGGTCTGGGACCCAGGATTCTGCATGTTTCAAAGGCGCTCCAGGTGGTAAGGGTGCGCCCCCAGAGATGGGAACTACTCGGTATAGATGGTACCAGCATGCTTCAGGGCACAGGTAACAACTCAGACTTCTGTTTCCATTTCCGACTTATCCAGCTAGAAATGTCACCATGAAATAGAAAAGGACCAAAATGTCAACTTTAGTTACTTAATAATTGGTCATACAAGATAGTATGGTATAAATACTAATAATGGGCAAATCAGTGTTTCAATACCTCTAGAAAAGTCCAATGACTCTGTGCTAAAATAATGATTTTAATTCCTGAATACTCGATCCTTGGATTTCTCCGATTTCAACTTGCTGTTTGTGTAGAAAGGATAGACCAATTTGGGAGCAAAGTTCTGAGCATTGACACACAGTCAGGTGACCTTAAACCCTGAACCTTGATGAAACTGTAAAAGGCAGCATCATCAATTCCACTTACCTTTGCCGTTTTATAATAGAGTCAAAACCAATCGTTTGCACAGGTCTATTTCCAATTGTAACAATTTGCTCTTTTCCATCTTCCTCTGGTCCATCTTCTAACACATAGCGGTTCTTAAGTGCAGTAAGAAAGTCTACTCCAAAATTCACTTTGTTTGGACGAATAAAGGATCCTCCTGTTGGGTGCCTGGAAAAGGAGAGAAATGGAACATAGAAACAATCATCCATGGGGACATTTAAATAAGACGACACACGCAAAAATCCTTTCTAAACTGTCAGTCTGCCACAAATGTAAAATGTCTGCGTTTACAAATTTGTTTAAAAATATAGTAGCAAATAAAAGCAATCAACACAATTAAAAAGAAAGAAAAAGGGGTCCAGCCTGGTGGCGGAGTGGTGAAGTTTGCGCCTTCCACTTCAGTGGCCCGGGGTTCGCTGGTTCCGATCCTGGGCGCAGACCTACTCACCGCTCATCAAGCCATGCTGAGGCGGCATCCCACACAGAAGAACTAGCAGGACCTACAACTAGGATATACAACTATGTACTGGGGATTTGGGGAAATAAAACAAAAAGAGGAAGATTGGCAACAGATGTTAGCTCAAGGCCAATCTTCCTCAAAAAAAGAAAAAGAAAATATCATCCACCAAGAATGGCCATAAATGCAAAGTTCTGAAGGTTTTCAAAATGTTCTGTATGCCAAAAAATCAAAATCAGCATAAAAGGGAAAATAATGTACTAAAAAAAAGTCTAATCAATATGATTGATCATAAAGGGTTGTGAGCTTACGCAAGCATGTAAAATCCCAATAGATAAACAGACAAGAAATATGGAACAGATAACTCACATAAGAGGAAACAAAAATATTAAATCCATGGGGGAAAGTTTTACCTTGCCAATGATTAAGAAACCCAAATTCAAATAACGAAACTATTTTCAACAAAACTGGCAAAAATAAAGAAAAATCATAACACCCCAAAGACTGCAAGGTTGGGTTTGTTTTTGATTATATAATCACACTCCTAAGAATCTGTCAGCAGGCAATAATTTTAAAATAAAAATAAAATTCCATTGACAAAGATTCTATCTAATAGCATTTATTTGTAATTGAGAAACTCTGGAAATCATAAAAATGCCCAGCTGACGGGCCGGCCCTGTGGCTTAGCAGTTAAGTGAGCGCGCTCCGCTGCTGGAGGCCCGGGTTCGGATCCCGGGCGCACACCGACACACCGCTTCTCCGGCCATGCTGAGGCCACGTCCCACATACGGCAACTAGAAGGATGTGCAACTATGACATACAACTATCTACTGGGGCTTTGGGGGAAAAAATAAATAAATAAAATTATTAAAAAAAAAAAATGCCCAGCTGGATAGGAACTATTAAGTAAACCAGATAGATGAGTCATTTAAAAATTCTAGCTATAATACTTAATAAAAGTACTCACAAAATACTGTTGAGATTTTTAAAAATTGAACGAAATTGTACATGATACAGCGACAGAGGAATCATATCTACAGATAAACAAAGATTGAATAAGGACAGAAAGAAATGAAAATATTTGTGGATAACAATTATCTACAAAATCTTTTAAATAATAACTTAAAATTGAACTAAATATATTTTAAAAGCTTAAATATGGGGCTAAAATAGACCATGTGGGAATAATTCTACATAAATATAGGATATTTTACCACAATTTATATTCAGGTTTTATAGCAATTTTTAGTAATTATCTCCAGCAAGATTTAATAGAAATATTAATTATATTGCTGTATGTAATGACCACTGTCAGGCTTTCCAAGAGATTCAAAATAGGTCTTGAGACCCACTGAATTTCAGCATTCAGTATTATATCATGGCAATGATACCTTATTTTCAGGGAAATCTAAGTATCACCTATAAACCAGTTGTAAATGTTAATATTATCATTTGATCACTTTAGAGAATAAATGACGAAATATATGAATTGCCAAAAATTGCATTATAAATACTATTTCAGCTTACAACCTTTAACTCTTAAATCAAACCTTCCTAGAAGTCACCATAATTAAAAAGGATGAACACTAATATTGATGACAAAATGTCAATATAAACAGATAAAATTTTTTCTAGGAAGTGGGTCCATAGAGATTACCAGATCATGAAAGGAACTTGTAATCACAAAAAGTTGGAAGTGATGCCACAGGTGAGAAGTGGCCCAGAGGTCATTAGAACCCCAGAGTGTGTGGTGTCTTGGAAGCCACTGAAGAAAGTGGACAACTGTGTCCAGTGCTATGAAAGCCTGGAAGGTCACTACTGAGGCTGGCTACTGAAGCTAGCAACCAGGAGGTAACCTTGGTAGGAGCACCTGGGCTGAAGCAGTGAGCAAAAGTCTGATGGGGTGAGTTCCAGAGAGTGAGAGCACAGAGACCACAGACCGCTCTCGTCTGAGGACTTCTACTGGAAAGGGGAGAAGAGAATACGGACAAGAGCTGAAGGGAGATGGGATCGAAAGAGGGAATGTTTTAGGATGGAAGAAAGTATCTAACTTGTATGCTGATGAAAATAATCCAATGGAAAGGGGAAAATTGATGATGCAGGAAATTAAACTCTCTGTTGCAGCAAAATCAAGTTCTGAGTCTGTATAGTCTGTTGTGATATCAGAGAATCATGGACTACCAGAAGCTTCCCAGAGAATATTACATTTTAACCCTAGGAAAGGCTCATATTGTAAAGAACACAGTTCTGTTTTAACAAACACGATTATATCACTCAGCTAAAGTGATTAAATATAGCTAGCATCATTTTTTAAACGTTCAAAGGGACCTACCTAAGCGATTATCTAGTCTAGAACTTCGCAAACTTAACCTAAAAAGCAGCAGGTCGCCTGGAAAGCTTACTGAATCCCACATGAGATGCTCACACAGTGGGGCTGGGCCCAGGAATCTGCTTGTTTGAAACAATGGTCCAGGGGATTCTGATGTAGGTGGGCCTCGTGTCCCACTTTAAGAAACTCTGATCTAATCCAACCCCGTTTCAGCTGGGGATATGGGGTCTACCGTTACAGAGGTATCAGAGCCAAGACCAAAAACCTTGGATTTCTGATTACTAGAGCGCTACCCTTTCCCACATTTCTGTCTTGGCTTATAGATACAAATCAATGGCTTATGTTAACTTAAACACATTCCTTAAATTAAAATCCTAGTTAACATATATGTTCCTAAGATCTTGGGAGCAGGCAGTGGGATGGAGATGGGGGCAGCACACGCTTTGGAGTTAGACAAACCTGCAGTCAATTCCTGGCTCCATCACTTACTAGCTGTGTGACCTCAGGCAACTGAATTTATGTTCTCAGCCTAAGTTTCCTCATCTATAAAGCCTTATCAAATGAGGTTATTTATAAGGATTAAATAAACCATAATATATAAACAATCACTATATTGCCTGGCATAAGATATCTGTCCTTTACATACAGTTATGGTATCTAATATACTAATTTTTTAAATTTTTTATTTATTTATTTTTCCCCCAAAGCCCCAGTAGATAGTTGTATGTCATAGTTGCACATCTTTCTAGTTGCTGTATGTGGGACGCAGCCTCAGCATGGCCGGACAAGTGGCGCGCCGGTGCGCGCCCGGGATCCAAACCCGGGCCGCCAGCAGCAGAGTGCACACACTTAACCACTAAGCCACGGGGCCGGCCCTCTAATATACTATTAAAAATAAACCCACATATTTTGAAATACGGGGATAACCCAGAGGCCATAGTCTAAACTGCAGCAGTGGCTTCCAAACTCGTCCAGATGGGCTCCTGTAGTACATATACCATCAATGATGACATAATTTCATCATATGAACTATGTGTAATTTTGCCAGGAGAAAATATGGTTATAAAGATATGCAATGGGGGGGGGCCAGCCCCGTGGCTTAGCGGTTAAGTGCGCGCGCTCCGCTGCTGGCGGCCTGGGTTCGGATCCCGGGCGCGCACCGACGCACTGCTTCTCCGGCCA